GTCTGAGTTTTTTTTTTACAAGCTAATGCACAATGTGTCAATTTTTTTTGTAGCTCCACTCCTAGAGATCGTTGAAAGTTTCTATTTTTTGTGGTTATAAAAAAATTGGTATGCCCTACAAAGGTTGTGCAGAAAGCAAAACAAATACAACTTTGTAAAATATAGTACGTTGTCAGTGAGTTCCGCTATGATATTTTTAAGGAAATAAATTGAAAGCAATACGTCTATTTGTCTAATGGGCATACTTTTTAAATTTTCTATTACCTGTCGTTGGATGCAACTAGATACAAATGAAATATTCTGGATTTTGTAGTATTTATCATCTAGTTTCATATCCACTTAGTTAAATCTGCTGCCGTTTGTTGCCCTTCGAGTAATTTGTTCTCCAAAATGGGTTGTTTTTGGATAAAAAAGCGATATATTTTTGAAATAAGTAAAGATATTTACTAAGAGTTCACTAAGAAATTTTCGAAATTTCCTTTACAATTTCTCTTAAATTCCCAGAGTATATGTCTAAAATTCTTAGAACCTGTCGGAAGTGTTCTAAGAACAACTCTAAAGTTCCCTTAGAAGCGCAATGAAGTTCCAGGAGTTCTCTGAAGTTGTCTAAAGTTTTCTGTGAACTTCTATGAAGGTACAAGAAAACTTCTTTGAAGTTACCTGAGAGAACTATGAAGTTCCTTTAAAATTTATCTCATGTTCCCTGGAATCATCTGAAGATCCCTTAAGTTCGTTGATATATTATTTGTGAACTTTGCTGACGTCACTTTAGAACTTTTTTGGAGTTGCATGATACCATAGAGGTAACTCTGAGACTAGAAGGTCCCGAAGAAACGTGCTGAACTTTTTGGCACAGGAAAATCCACGAACCCCTCATTTTATCTGTCAAACTTTCATATCGAATCAAAACAAACATAGAACAAGAATTTTGCCCAGAATGGGGTATGTTAATCGTTTGGTTGGGACCAATAGGCTAGTCAAGTAGGGAGCCAATTTAAAATCGTTAGTTTCCACCGGTTGATGATACTCTCTTTGAAGTTCCTTAAACAAGCTTACTCATTTCAGCTAAAGTACTATTTTTCGAAATTATTGAGCTATGAGATATCCTATGGGAGGGGAGGGGGTGTGTCATTTCGCACAGTGTGCCAAAAATACAGTTGGGCACACTTGGGCACTCTCATTGGCACTGTTTGGCACCCATGGTTGTAAATGTTCATGATCTTTAAAGTTGCTGGCAACACTGCACTATATCTGTGCCTGCGCTGTACATGTGTCAAAATTTCAATCATTGTTGTTGACACAATTCCATTTTTGGTTTCATAACTTCAACCCCTAATATCCGGCCAACTTACGCCATGGATTCCTCAACAGCGCATATACTAACCTACATACCTGACCAAAGCACTACATCATTTGTATCGGAATTATCCTTTCGGTTTTAAAGCTTGGGAGCGGGGGTTCGTACATTAAATTAAAAAAGGCAACTCCTCTATATTGAAATCATCTATAGGCTAGTTTTAGTTGGCTTTTATTTTGCGGAATGGTGGCTTTCGATGACTGTTACTCCACCGGGTACATAACCGTTCTGGTGATACTGGTAGGGCGGTCGCTGAAGACGCCAGCGACGACGACTAGGTAGTGGTGAGAGTAGCATAATTAGCGAACACAACCACATCGGGAGTCGCAATTGGCAGCGCTTTGTGAATGTATTCACCTGCTCACCGCTAAAGTAGCCAGCCTTAACTTAAGCACCTCGAACATTTTTGTCGCATGCTCAACTTAATCGCTTCGACCCGTTTCCTGTCTTCAGTTGGTATATGACCTTGGTTACCTCGAACCGTGCATCCGTGTTGTCCCAATTGGGTGGCATCGAGAGCGTGCCCGTGCCCGTTCCAGCGGTTGTAGATTTCGGATGCCATCAGATGCGTTTCGATGATGTCTTTGCCGTGCTCGTTTACCAGCGGGCGGAGCAATGCGATCACGTTCTTAAGGGGATCCTACGATTTGACCAGGTTGTCCTGTATCTGCTTATCCAGTTAGGGTACCTCTGGAACATCGTCTTGGTTAGGATGGTTAGGATCTGGGATAGGATTCCACTCACAGGACTGCAACGTCTGTCATCTGCGAACAACTTCGAGTGAATGCAAATTTCTCTGGTGCTCTGGTGCTAATTTCACAGCTCCTCCTTTTCCTCTATGATTAAGCTTGGTACATGTCGCACCGCGTAGCGGAAAATAGATAGAGTTTTCTAGATAACGTTATAGGAAAGCATGGTTTACGCAAATGGTGCTCGTCAGTTCGAAAACAACTAAATCATTTTTTAATTGTCCATTGCGGGGAAGTAAGGATGGTTTTGAAGGCATTACATTTGTTGCCACTTTGCCGCATTTTATGTTACATGGTTGGAGCTTAAATATGTTATGGATCACCAGCGCTGCTGATGTTTTCGGCAGTTTCAAGAACTGGATCGCATTGCAGGGGGTTGATTCCACTGCTTGTTGTTTTATTTCTTCAAAACAAAACATGTTAACTGTCAAATTAGCCGGGTTGTCATACATACCATTATACAAGCAAGCAAATTCAGTCTTATGATGACCGACATTCTCGGTACAGGTGCGGCACACGTGAGGCACACTAGGAAAAAAAAGTTAGCGCGAAATAAGTGCGTAGAGTGAACACCCCTTGAAGATATTATAATGATAATTTGTATTTGTAAAATGCAAGAAAGGATGTAAAGTTTGTGTATGACTTATGAAAATTTCACTTCCAGAGTGTCACAACTAGTAATTTTATGAGGGCTAACTCATCGCTCATTACCTGAAATTCCCTGAGAACTTGTCCTAAATCCTCCGAAGCTCTACAAAGTTCCTTGAGAAGTTCGCTGAGAACGTCATCTCAAATTCATAAAAAAAAATCACGATAGGGTAACTGACGACTTCGGCAACACCTTTACCTATTATCGTCAGGGGTAAATGAAGTCCTAGCGCACTCATTATTTGCATGACTGTACCTCGGATGTTTTCTCGTTATAAGTCTATTTTTGATTTGACTCTCTGATTTTAGACACAGCTCTCTGTTCTGCTAGATGAAATTCCCCTCATGAAATGGTTGGGATTAATCGCCTCAGAATTTCTCGGTTCTTGAGGAACGTAAGTTAGGAGTCTGAAGTTCACCTGGTCCTCTGAATCCGCCAAAGTAGTTTTGAGAATCTCATCCGCCCATCGTGCAACAGCTTTGTTGCATCTTTGACTGAGTCGTTCTCATACTCCTCGGAGTTGTGGTGCCGAAGATGCATTGAAGTTCCATTGGATTCTTGAAATCTTGAACTCCTCTCATCCTTGCTTGCACTCACTCAAGTCACCATTGTCGGAGAAAATCTCATTGGAAATTCCACCCCTGCAAACGAAACGCCGGATGGCCATTAGACATGCCTGCATGACTTCAAGGATGGCTCACCACAGATCTTGAAGATGGCTATAATGCTCCGCAAATTGTCGTAAGATTTGATCGATGAGGGTGTTGATTATGGGTAACTTCTGCGTGAATTTTAAAAAAAAATTTGGACCGCTCATCAATATGCACTTTATGAACAACAAATGAGCTTTTCAGTCCTAAAAAAACATGCTTGACACATCTAGAAAATAATTATTACCAATACATAGTCATCATGGCCAACTAGGTATATAGATTTGAAGCCAGTTTGTGAATTTTGATTTTTAATGATTCTCCGCATAAACAATAGCCATAAGAAATGCCTAACCACCAATTCAGGATATCCTCACAACTATATGCGATATGGTCGCACCATCTATGATATCGTTTCTGTATGGTAAGGGTCGTAACGTAAGTTTACGAGATTTGGAAATTTACGAGTGTGGGCAAAAATACCGTCGGGACTGGTTCAATGCAACAATTTTCAACATGGCCCCAGAAAGTAGCATGTTGTTCCGTCTTACCGTGACAATTACCAAGCGCCAGATACTGAATATTCAGCTGTTTATTTACTACACAGGCAGGTTTTATCCGCTGCTTAGACATTCAGTTTTATGGAAATTTGTATGAACCATAGATACTCACCAAACCCCCCTAAAATGCCGACGTGGTTTATGGACAGCCCCTTGATTTTTTTCACATAATTCACAAGTTATATCAAGCTCATCAATCCTAAAAAAAAACGAAAGTTTTATGAAACATATTACTTTCGACGGTAAAACGATTCATATAAATTTTGAAGCAATTTTCATCAGCTCATAAAAGCTTCAACTTGGTACCTGAAAAGCTTAAATTTCTCCTCCTATCACCAACGACTGATAAAACGAATGAAAATAGCAATAACCTCAACCGTTAAAACAACGACTAACCGTTACAATCAAAATTGATCTCCGCGACCAATCCGACCACCTGCAGAGGGCTCGTTTACCTACACAGGACTTCATGTCACTGATAAGATAGCATTCCGCCCATCTTGCCCACCGAAAACAAAAAACATTTTATAGTCACACTAAAGGTATAACCGTTTCAAAGTGCAACACGGTGGTGCGAACTTGCAACCCGGATTCCTGTGTCCGATAACGATCCAATTCCTACCCTTTCGTCCAAGAAACGTAGATCGGTTTAATTCTTGCATCATCTCTCCATTGCTAATTCAGGATCTTGTTTGGGACAAAACTCCTATCGTCTTATATACTCTACTAACTAGCATACACACCAACCACCAACATTCGCGGCTCACCGGGTTCTTTTGGGATATTTTCCTCTTTCGCCGTCTTTTACCGCGCGCGCTCACACTACCGCACTACCGCGGATGATGGTTGTTGGATGGTTTTAGTCCGAAATTTTTTAGCAACATCATCGTCGATTATAAATTGATTCACACCACCGGTCCGTGGCATCAGTCTTCGGTTGACATCGGTTCGGAACGGTCACAAACGGAAATCGCGGCGAAAAGTGTCCTAGCAGAAGGATTTTCAGAGAAAGATAGTGATTTAGAAGTTAAAGCAAACAGTGAACAGCAATGGCTCACCGGAATTGTCCCATGAACGGAAAGGCGGCCCCCCACAGTGACTTCGAGTCGTACTTTGTGCGGCCGGATTTGGGTTCCAAGTGCACCTGGAAGCCCGGCACCACCGAAGCCAGCCCCCATCAGAACCGTGCGCCGTAAGTGTTGGTGGTTCTTGTTCGCCGGAGATAATCTTGAGCGATTGTGTGAGATATGGTGTGTCTGAAACTGGAATTATATGAAGTGTGGAAAAATTAATGCAGTGCTTAGTGCGAGCTGGTTCGGTCATTGGTGTTAAACTTTAATGTTACAGTTTCAAACTTTCATTAAGTTTAAGTAAAGGCTTAATAATATTTTTTAACGATATTGATTAACTTGTTGAACTACGTCAATCAATAGACCTAGTTGGAAAATTTCTCGACAACTGTGGAAATCAAGGTTGCAGAAACTCATTTCAGACATTTTTTTTTACAATAATAGAAGTAAAGTATGTGTTTGACACATCATCTTATTCAATTTAGCTTTCTGAGAGTCGCAATCAATTTTCAGTCGATCATAAAATCGCCGATTTTAACTCTTAGAAAGCAAAATTGACAAACGTTGTAACGTTGTCAAACACATATTTTGCAACCTCTTCTTGTAACTAACTAGTAAAACATGTGATCATAACATCTTTTCATTTCATTATTACGAAAAAATATGATTTAGTGTTAAATGAGCATTTGCAACATTGGTAGAAATATTCAAGGCAGTTGGGATGTAAGACATTTTCAGTTGGGATGTAATAGCCAAAGAAATAGTAGAAGCCCATACTGCTCATTAGAAGTTCAAACAAGAGGAAGAGCAATAAACGAACAGAATGGCATACGAGAGAGTGTCCGCGTGAGAATTATGATAGAAGTTGAAGATTAGTGCCGATTATGTCATAACAGCTTAATCAAATGATCATCCACTTATATCTGGTGATAGGCTCGAAAAGAACCGAAACGACTTCTGAGACAAGCGAAAAGATTCAGCGTGAAATTTTTTCATTTAACTTTTATATCGCAGTGCCAAATCGATTATGTCTGTCACCGTGATTAGCATTTCTATGTGGATTGAAAACCACTAAAAAATTTCTCTTCAAATTGTTGTACTGGTGCTCTCTTGTCAATCCAACATGTTCGAAACTCGATTAAATAAAACTGTGATTTATTAAACTGTCTAGAGATTAATCCACCTATGATGCCAATAAAAGTTGGCCTCTCGCGGCCTTCTTAAAAACCATAAAATTCCCAACCATAATTTTCAAAAACATTCGCCGAAACTGGTTACGATCAACAACAAACAACAATCAAATTTCTTTAAAAACAAATGCTTTATTCGTGAACTAGAAGCGCTTTGAAACTTCTCTCCCATACCCCACCAGACGAAATTTAGATGCTCGCCAATGATATACTGACGTACTGTTGGCGAAAACAATCTTCCCGAGGTTCATGCAAGTTCGATAATATGCGTGTTCCAAAGCGGGTTGTAATCTAATCTACTGTTTTTGCTTAATTGTCACAGCCTGTGTGGCTTACCTGACCTAGTTCAACTTCTTCTGGCACATGGGCGATTTGAGGCATATGAAAAAAGGATTAGCTTTTTAAAGGTAAAAAGATCTGAATGAATCATACAGAAAATGTATTCTATTATCTGATATCGTACTCCTAAGAGCACCTGCACCGATGGGTTGCTATTTTGATAACTTCAGTCGTTGCTATTTTAGTTAGCAACGAGTTTACGCATCGATTGTTAATTTGTGTTTGAGACTTTTGCACCGGCCGGGGAAACAGTCCTATTGTTGCGATACGTTAGAAGCGTTAGGAGCCTATTGTTGTGTATGGAGACCTCCATACACAGCAATAGGCTTCTAACGCTACAAACGTACCGCAACAATAGGACTGTTTCCCCTAGTAGCTAAACTTACCATCGAACTTCGAGCTGAAACTGATCGCAGAACTTCGTGGTTATTTTTTGGACAATATTGATATAGCGGAAACGCTCTATAGGAGCGGTACGTTAGAAGCGTTAGGTTTCTATAGTTGTGCATGGAGACTCAATACACAACTATAGGAACCTAACGCTTCTAACGTACCGCAACTATAGGAGCGTTAACCTACCTAATCATGAAGACTGAAAATTCAAGATTGAGATCCAACTACAGACCCAGAGATCGAAGAAACGGTCCTCCGGAAGATCCGAAACATTCGTAAAAAAGATCCAAGATCGCTGAGCTAATTTTTTTTTTTTAATCAAATGAATGAATTTGGATCTGGGATTAGCACACTTGTAATCACGGAACAGTCCTGTGAAAGATCCGGAACATCCGTAAAAGTGGTCAATTCGTAAAAATGATTCTAAAGCTCCGATTTTTTTAAATCACGTTTTGCTACATGAATGAATTTGAATCTGGGATTAGAATGCGCACACTGGTGATCACGGAACGGTCCTCTGAAAGATCCGGAACATCCGTAAAAATGGGTCAATTCGTAAAAATGATTCTAAAGCTTCGATTTTTTTTTAAATCACGTGTTGTGATGGTACGAGAATGAATTTGGATCTGGGATTAGAATTCACACACTGGTGATCACGGAACGGTCCTCTGGAAGATCAGGAACATCCGTAAAAGTGGTAAATTCTTAAAAATGATTCTAAAGCTCCCATTTTTTTTAAAATCGCGTGTTGTGATGCTACATGAATGAATTTGAATCTGGGAGTAGAATGCGCACACTGGTGATAACGGAACGGCCCTCTGGAAGATCCGGAACATCCGTAAAAATGGTCAATTCGTAAAAATGATTCTAAAGCTTTGAATATTTTTTTTAAACACGTGTTGAAATGCTACATGAATAAATTTGAATCTGGGATTAGAATGCGCACACTGGTGATCACGGAACGGTCCACTGGAAGATCCGGATTATCCGTTAAAGTGGTCAATTCGTAAAAATGATTCTATAGCTTTGCAATTTTTTTTTAATCCCTTTTTGTGAAGCTATATGAATGGACTTGAATCTGGGATTAGAATGCACACACTGGTGATCACGGAACGGTCCTATGGAAGATCTGGAACATCCGTAAAAGTGGTCAATTCGTAAAAATGATTCTGAAGCTCCGATTTTTTTTTAAATCACTTGTTGTGATACTACATGAGTGAATTTGAATCTGGGAGTAGAATGCGCATACTGGTGATCACGGAACGGTCCTTTGGAAGATCCGGAACATCCGTAAAAGTGATCAATTCGTAAAAAATATTCTATAGCTCCGTGATGACAACCGTATATTTTAAGATTGATTCTTGCCAATGTTAGAGTCGGTGTATAATGAGTCACGCCAAGAGAAAAACAGTTGAACTCGCATCACGGTTTTCGGAAGATTCCCATTCTTTTCACTTGGCAACTGAGGACTTCTACAACAACTTCAAATGACTTCTAGCGAGAGAAAAATATTGCGACTGTAGTAAATCATTATATCAGTGATTTTGTCAAATTATCTTAACAAAAAATAGTAGAAATTCTCATTACTAATCATTACCGAGCGTATCCCATGACAATTTAACGCTCACTGCGTGTTTATGCTCATTTCTTCGATTATATTTTATATTTTATTGCAATACCTTTCGTGGACCTTTCATAGCATCGTAATGTTTATTTACTTTGCACGATAGGTAGCCGGTTTGACAGTTCAATAGGTAGACTTGGCTTCACTCTTGGCGTGACTCATTATACACCGACTCTAGCCAATGTGAATATCTCGACAATCGCTTTGCCCACCCTAATAAAATTGTTATGGTTATTTTGCTTAACGACGTGTTCTGGGAATCTTCCAAACCATTAGTGGAAAAGTTCAATGATTTGGGTTATCGTTCGTTTATGGTTATTTTTTATTAGGGCAGGCTTGGCAAAAAGACTTAGGGTATAGGTCACAACTTCAAAATTAATTTTAAATCTCATTTACTAATCTTTTCTTAAAAACCAGGAAGTTTTGGATACTTAATTAATAAATAAATAAAGAGTAAATTTGTTACCCAATTAATAAATGTTGTAGAGATAAAAGTTCATGCTTTTCCGTTGATTATGACTCCAAACCCGTTCGAACCACACTCAAATTCAAAATGCACCAATACCAACAAGCATTGCAAATTAGAAAATGGAGTTTTGACCATATTCGTAAATACAAAATTATTGTTCAGTTATAATAATTCTACTACTTCAATTCCAAGATTCCAAGTTCTGGGAAGGTCTGCCGAAGGACAGGTAAGTCCTACTGAAGTTCAGGAAAGTTCTTCCGAAGTTCAGGGAAGTCCTGCTGAAGCTCAGGGAAGTCCTGACGACGTAAAGAATATTCTTCCAGCAACATGATCGCACAATTGGTCGAAAAGACGAGCCCCTGAACAGGATGATGCCCAATAACCGGAGGGAAGAGCCCGCCCTTCATCCATGAAATGTTATAAACAGGGAGTTCGAATTGCCACTTTTTCCGTCCAAATTGCTTTAAACAGGTGCCGTGATCTTCTTTTTCTTTGCATTTAAAGCTTATTGCTTATCGCATATTAGCTTATTGCGTACTCTCAACTTAGTGTTTTAGAGGCACTTCCACAGTTATTAATTGAAAGCGTCCCGAGGAGCTTCCATCCCTATATCATTTTGGCATTTGTATAATTGTGTGGCAAGTCCTCTCATACTCTATGCCCAGGGAAGACGAGAAATTTCCCAATTGTAATTTGTAATTGTTCAGTGCATAGGCTGTGCCTTCCGCTAAGAAGGCTTATCTAGGGACCAAACCCCTAGTCTATACACCTACTGTCCTTCCCGTTGCACTCGTCAGCTCGTGCGATACTCTAGACACACATGGGTGATCGTATCCGGGTCCTCCCCTGGGTAGGCTCGTGTCCGTCCAGGTTCTGGTACATTAACTTATCTATATGCATGGTAATTATACTTTTAAATCTCACCTTTTTTTTTTTCGAAAATGCTGAAACTAAATAAAGGTTAGCGATCCATATAAGGTGTGTGCTGCGACGGAGTAGTAATTGAAGGAAATGAGGTATAGGTAATTCTAAAATAGATAAATCAATGAATCATTAGCTGCTAACAGTTACTAATAAATGGGTACGATAAATCACTCATCAATGAGT